AATAATAATTTGGACATTTCGATGAACGATAGATTTACTAACTAAAAAAAGTGCATGACTGATTATTGTAGTCCATGGTTTGATAACCTAATCGGTCGGTAATGTGAAATATTATTATTCTTTATATATATATATTAATTCTTGTGTTGTAGAAAGTAGAAACGTCTCAAAACAACTCATTAATCGCTGTGAAAAACAATCATTAGTCCGTAAAAAGAAGTGTTTATATTCGATGAATGATTTACTCAGAGATACTCGTTAAAAACAAGTGTTAATCTGACTTTGACCATAGTGAATGCTAATCGACCAATATGGTCATATAGTAAAAAACAATAATATTAATAAAAAAGAGAGTAATGAAACAAAAAAGACTTTTAACTGGTGGTAAAGGGAGATGATTGATGAAGACACCAAAATTTAACTCAGTGATTCAAAAAATTAAAAACAAAACACCAAAAAATTTAATCAAACATCTCTTCATGAGAAGCTCATTCTTTGCCTACAGCAAAACTCCTATGAGCAGTCCTCAAAAAACATTTGCCTTACATGGAAACAAACTAAGCCATGAGACTTCACTCAAAACCCAAAACACTTCGATTTTCCGTTTCGATTTTATTTTGTTTACTGTTGCTTGCATTCAGGAGGCCTCTCGCCTTGTTGTCCATCGCTACGCTGAGGTCTCCCTCCTCTCTGGAATTTGGTTTAAAAAGAGTATATGTTATTTATTAATCTATCTTACGATCACAAACATAACACACTAATACGTAAAGATCATATTTGGTCCAAGCTTGTGAGAATGATTCTACAAAATCTGTCTACTTATAATTCAGCTTCAGTCATATAAGTGCTCAAGTTTCTTTTATTCACAGATTCATGAGCTTGTCAGTTAATTTCAGCTATCTCTAATTCATGGGTCAAGTTCTCTTATTTTGTGATCATGGTCGAGCCTAAAATCTTCAATAGATTACTTTCTGTTCTATGCATTGGTGTCAGATTACTTCCCAGAAACTATAAGTTTAACTTAAAAACAAATTATTATTCCAAGTGAGGAAATTGGCTATGTACCTTGTGCAAGATTGATGGCTGCATGAACATTTAAACCCGATTTCAAAGGATTAGTAAAACAAACAATAATATTGGTATTTCCATGAAAGGATGAAATAAAAACGGAGGAATTCAAATACCTTCTTTTTGGTCTTGCTTATTTCT